AGGATCGCGAGATTAGCGGAGCGGTTCGAAAGTTGCAGCGGCAACTTGCTCTCCGAGTAGTTAGGGGATACCGTACCGTTTCGTACAACGCGGCGGCCATCCTTTCGGGGTTGACCCCCTTTGATTTAGCGGTGAACCGAATGAGGAGAACGTATCTCCGCAGGCGGGAGATCCTCGCCCGGGATGGAGCGATCACCCCGCACGTGGGGGCAACGCTGCAGGAGATCGAGCGACGCCGGTCGATCGATCTATGGCAGAAGCGACTCGACGAATTGCCACCGGGAGGATCGGGCGCGGTCGTGCGAGGCGCAATTGGGGGGGATCTGGAGACTTGGGTGGGGAGGACGCATGGTGCCCTCACGTATCGGGTCACTCAGATCTTGACGGGGCACGGGGTATTCGAGTCCTATCTCTATGGGATAGGGCGAAGGAGCACCCCGATTTGCCTATTCTGTAGAGCGACAAGCGACACGGCGGCGCACACCCTTCTGTTTTGCCCGTCCTGGGCGGAGCAGAGGGGGGCGCTGCTGGAAGTCGTGGGCATCGACAGGTCGCTACGGGCGGTGGTGAGGGCCATCATGCGTTCTCCCGAAGCGTGGGCCGTTTTCGCTGCGTTTTGCGAAGCGGTTATGAGGTGTAAGGAGGAGGACGAGCGTGCTCGGGAACGGGAGCAGGCTGTGCTGCCCGTGGGAGTCCCGGCTCCTCCCATTGGATGAGGCTCCAATGATCGTGTGTGTGAAGAGCAGCGGATGTGTACATAGTATGTAGATAAAGTAGTAATAGGTTCCGATGACCGTTTTATGAGAGGAACAAAAAGGCGTAATACTGTAAATATATGTAAGTAGCGGTACTAGGTTCCGATGACCGCAATGCGAGAGGAACAAGGAGAAGGAGATGTGATAGTGTATATATGTATATGTATATAGGATTCTTGTAAATATTAACATAGAGGTAAGCTAGGATTAGCAGTTGGACGGGAAACCCGCAAAAATGAGGTAGGGAGTCACGCGACTCTAAACGCTGGGGGGCAGTCTGAAGTAATGCTAAAATGCGGTTCCGGACTGTCCCCCCAACAGGCAAGGGCGGTGGTACGCCTAGGGGGGAGTTTTTAGTCGGTAGGCGGCTGTCCCGGTGTGCCCCTGTAGTACCTTGGTACCACAGGAATCACGGGGCGGTCGAATCCGGCACTCCCGACGGTACGGGCCGTCGGGGGTCTTCCCCTTCCCGATGGGTGTCCCGAAAGGGTCCCCCTCGGGAGGGGGTCTACGAAGATTTTCTCCTCCCACGTAAAACAAAAAACAAAAAAAAAATTACTATCAGAGATTCGTTTCAAACGAGTTTAGATTGTAATTTCTTTATTTTATAAGTTCTCTAGAAGGTCTCTATCATTAAAAGAAAGGGAAATTTTGTGAAATAGGAAAGGGTAAACAAAAAAGGTAGTGGGAAGGTAACCAGTTGCCATCTAGTATAATTTTCTAAGTAATTTTTAGAACTATAATATTGCTTGTATTATCGGTATGTAGGAAACGGGTAGTTTTTCTGTATCACTTTGATTATTTATTCCCTCAGCTTGTTTTTTAATATGGATCATTTCAGAAATGGATCTTTTGTAAAATGATGGTTCATAGTCTAAAATTTCAATATTTTTCCAATCAATTTTGTGATTAAAATTAAGCCGATGACATGAGACTACTGAGAGATTATTTAATTTTTTTATGTCTGCTTTATCCTTTATTCTAGTTTTAAGCTTTCTTTTAGTCTGTTCTACATAAGAACACTCACAATCTCGACAATCGATTTTCTATACCACATGATTATTATCCATTTTATTTAATTTATCTTTCCCTGTTTTAATAAATTTAATTAAGCTATTAGTAGGTTTATATGCATTATTTATGTTGTATTTCCTATACATATATTAGATGTTAAACTTAATTCTTGCCGTTTTTCGTCTCCAAAATTGATTTGTTTCAAAGGCAAATACCTTAATCAAAGTATTATTAATAAAGTATTATTAATTAGTAATAAAGTAGAAAATGGAGGAAATTACTTTGATTAAGGTATTCATTCATCTTTCCTTCGAAACAAATTAATTTTGGAGACGAAAAACGGCAGGAATTAAGTTTAACACATAGAGTGTCTATCATGTTCGTGATATATTTTTTGTGAAAGCTTGGATGTGACAGGAATACAATTCTGTCCAATAATGACATAATAACACCTTCTTTATGGACAATAGGATGGTTCGAGTGATAATTTAAAAACCTTCTTGAGTTCGTAAGTTTTTAATATATGTATATCAAAGGTGATCTTATTATCCTTCACTTTTATAGTTATGTCCAAAAAGTTCACTCTATTATCCTATATTCTTCCAGTGTAAATTTGATTCTATTATGTTGAGTATTAAATGTTTCTAGAGTTTGATTTATTTGATTTTTAGGCAATGCTAATAAAATAATGTCAACGTATCTGAAATATACGGGTATATCTATGTGAATCGTAGAATGGATTTTACTTTCAATGTCCTCCATAACTAAGTCAGATATAACTGGAGAGGGTGGAGATCCCATAGGCATGCTGAATATCTGTGTGTAGTAATTATTATTGAATTTAAAATATGTTGAATTCAAAATTAATTTTACAGAATTAATAAATTCATTTATTGGTAAAGTTGTGTGATTTGCTATTATGGTAAGTCCCATCTTTTTACAATTCCTTCAATCGCTAAATCTATTGGAATATTAGTATGCATATCTGAAATGATCCATATTAAAAAACAAGCTGAGGGGATAAATAATCAAAGTGATATAGAAAAACTACCCGTTTCTTATCTTAAAAATATTATTGATAACAGCTTAAAAAAATCAAAATTAGGGTATATAAAAAATAATTTCGAATTAGTAGATAAATTGAATGAGAGACCATTACATTCAGACTATAAATTAGTTTCATTCGATATAGTCTCAATGTATACTAATCTTCCAATAGATTTAGCGATTTAAGGGATTGTAAAAAGATGGGACTTACCATAATAGCAAATCACTCAATTACCAAAATAAATGAATTTATTTATTCTGTAAAATTAATCTTGAATTCAACATATTTTCAATTCGATAATAAATACTACAAACAGATATTCACTATGCCTATGGAATCCCCACTCTCTCCTGTGACTTAGTTATGGAAGACATTGAAAGTAAAATCCATTCTACGATTCACATCAGTATACCCATATATTTCAGATACGTTGACGATATTTTATTAGCATTGCCTAAAAATCAAATAAATCAACTCTAGAAATATTTAATACTCAACATAATAGAATCAAATTCACACTGGAAGAATATGAGGATAATAGAGTGAACTTTTTGGACATAACTATAAAAGTGAAGGATAATAAGATCATCTTTAATTTATATAAAAAACTTACGTACTCAAGAAGGTTTCTAAATTATCACTCGAGCCATCCTATTGTCCATAAAGAAGGTGTTATTACGTCATTATTGGACAGAATTGTATTCCTGTCACATCAAAGCTTTCACAAAAAATATATCACGAACATGATAGACACTGTATTAAATAACGGTTATCCTTTAGATTTTCTATTCAATACAATAAATAATAGAATCAAATCTTTAATTCATAAAAATGATTACAAGTATACAAATCAAAATGAACCTATAGATATTAATATTAGAAAATTTTGTACTTTACCATATGTCAATAATTTAACTGAAAAAAAGAATGTATTAGGTGTTAAACTTAATTCCTGCCGTTTTTTGTCTCCAAAATTAATTTGTTTCGAAGGAAAGATGAATGAATACCTTAAAGTAATTTCCTCCATTTTCTACTTTATTACTAATTAATAATACTTTATTAATAATACTTTGATTAAGGTATTTGCCTTTGAAACAAATCAATTTTGGAGACGAAAAACGGCAAGAATTAAGTTTAACACCTAATATATAGGAAATACAACATAAATAATGCATATAAACCTACTAATAGCTTAATTAAATTTAATAATTGGAAACAAGGCAAATAAGAGTCGTATGTAATCATCAATTAACTAAGAAGTGATTAACACATTCAAGTTTATAATTATCCAGTAAAGAAGTTCGTTTGAAATATAAATTGTGTAATTCTAATTATAAGTATAACATGTTTCGGTTCTACATTTGAACCATCTTCAGATACAATATAAAATAAATTATTACCTCTGGTACAACACACATACTATAAAATAGAGATCATAACTAAAATAACTAAACTATAGAAAGCTGTTAAGAACGTTTATCTTCATTCCAAAGCCTCATGCAGTTCCTCCGTGAATACATATTCAAAAGTCAAAACGACTGATTGGTCATTTGCGTTTGAAATGAATCTAAATGTTAACAGATTAAAAACAAAGAAAAAATCAGTAATCCAGCGATGATGAGAATTATCGTAGTCTTTTTTAATATTACGACATGACGCAAAACAATGATCGTTAACAAAGCGTGAAAGTAATTAGCTAATATCTTATTATACGTCTAGTAAGAATGATAGTATTAAATTGTACGTGAAAAAACAGAAGAAAAATATAAAGTTAATGACAAAAAATCCATAAAATCATGCTTCATGTAAATACAAAAATTTGTTTTTTTCAGTAACTCTTGCTCGTTATGTGTTTCTATAACGTGTTAAATTTGAAGCTCAGAATGACGTTAATAACAAAGGACAAGAAAGTTTTAAAAGTTCTCACCAAATCGTATGGAATAGCAGATTGTGACCAAGAAATATAAGCGGTTTCCACGTTCCGTCGTCAAAATTACAAGAACAATAACATTAAAAAACTAATACCAAAGAGTCAAAATGTATGACAAATCGGTAATATTAATAGAAACCGTCTGGATCAGAAAAATTTTTAATTGTTCTCAGCAGAGCCATGTTCACAGTACGGCCGTTTCTGTGTTTCTGACCGCTATTCGATGGAAACAATTTCCGCCAGTACCAATACGTTACAATTTATTTATAATATTTACATATTCTTTGTGAAGGCCAACCGTGTCTGTTTGTAAATTAATGCCATTCTCCTGTTTCTTAATATAAAGCATTTCGGAAATTAAGCGCTTTGTGTAACAAGACTCTACATCAAGAACTTTGACATTATTCCAGTCGAAGTCATGTGCATATTGCAACCTATGGTCGGTAATCACTGAACGAGCAGACGTATTCCATTTAATGTGGTTACGATGTTCATATATTCTAGTTTTTAATTGTCTGCTCGTTTGTCCAACATAGGTTGCATTACAATCGTTACAGTTAATTTTGTATACAACGTCATTTTTAACTTCCTCTGGTATTCTGTCCTTATGTACACCAACAAATTTACTGATCTTGTTCGAACTAAAAAACGAAACTTTTAAGTCGTCTCTATTCAATTTCATGAATTTGTCAGTAATATTTTTGATAAACGGCACAGAAAACCAAGAAGTCATTGCTGCACTCTTGTCATTGAGGTCACTTTGGTCATGTGATACTCTAGATCTATGTTTAATGTGACGTAATCTCTCATTAATAGCATCAAAAATACACTTCAGAGGGAAGTCATTATTAATGAGAATATCAATAATTAGTTCTATGTTTTCATGGTGGAAAGACGAATCAGATAAGAATATGGCTCTATCAACTAAATTGAAGATAATACCTCTTTTTTGAGATTCTGGATGGTTCGAAAGATAATTTAAGAATCTCCCTGAGAAAGTTGGCTTCCGGTACCAATTAAACGAGAACCGGTCTACATTAACCATTATCGTCACATCAAGAAAATTAATAGAGTCATCACCCACTTCCAATGTGAACTGCAGTCTAGGATGGAATGTATTAAAACTATTATGAAAATCGTTGATCTTGTCTTTCGGAACTGCCGCAAGTAGATCGTCAACATATCGATAGTACAATAAAACTTCGTTGTTGTAACTTGATAAAGCCACTTTCTCTAATTTTTGCATGACCAAATCTGCCACGATGGGTGATAATGGCGAGCCCATGGGAGTGCCGAAATTCTGTTTATATATAGTTCCATCGAACTGAAAATATGTAGAATCCAATACCAGATTGATTGCTTCTACAAATTCAGATTGCGAACATTTGCAATTCTTCAAGATGTGTTCCCAATGATCATTGACACATTCAAGTGCTAAATCCAAAGGGATGTTCGTGAACAATGAAACAACATCAAGCGAGATCAAACTATAATTATTGTTCGTGTATATTCCTCTTAAATTGTCTACCAAGTCGAAACTATTTTTTATGAAACTGTCCGCCTTAGGCAATGAATCAAACAAGATCTTATGTAAAGGACAAACGTAGTACATAAGGACAGAACCTATACAATCTATGTAGGACAAACGTAGTACATAAGGACAGAATACCAGAGGAAGTTAAAAATGACGTTGTATACAAAATTAACTGTAACGATTTTAATGCAACCTATGTAGGACAAACGAGCAGACAATTAAAAACTAGAATATATGAACATCGTAACCACATTAGATGGAATACGTCTGCTCGTTCAGTGATTACCGACCATAGGTTGCAATATGCACATGACTTCGACTGGAATAATGTCAAAGTTCTTGATGTAGAGTCTTGTTACACAAAGCGCTTAATTTCCGAAATGCTTTATATTAAGAAACAGGAGAATGGCATTAATTTACAAACAGACACGGTTGGCCTTCACAAAGAATATGTAAATATTATAAATAAATTGTAACGTATTGGTACTGGCGGAAATTGTTTCCATCGAATAGCGGTCAGAAACACAGAAACGGCCGTACTGTGAACATGGCTCTGCTGAGAACAATTAAAAATTTTTCTGATCCAGACGGTTTCTATTAATATTACCGATTTGTCATACATTTTGACTCTTTGGTATTAGTTTTTTAATGTTATTGTTCTTGTAATTTTGACGACGGAACATGGAAACCGCTTATATTTCTTTGTCACAATCTGCTATTCCATACGATTTGGTGAGAACTTTTAAAACTTTCTTGTCCTTTGTTATTAACGTCATTCTGAGCTTCAAATTTAACACGTTATAGAAACACATAACGAGCAAGAGTTACTGAAAAAAACAAATTTTTGTATTTACATGAAGCATGATTTTATGGATTTTTTGTCATTAACTTTATATTTTTCTTCTGTTTTTTCACGTACAATTTAATACTATCATTCTTACTAGACGTATAATAAGATATTAGCTAATTACTTTCACGCTTTGTTAACGATCATTGTTCTGCGTCATGTCGTAATATTAAAAAAGACTACGATAATTCTCATCATCGCTGGATTACTGATTTTTTCTTTGTTTTTAATCTGTTAACATTTAGATTCATTTCAAACGCAAATGACCAATCAGTCGTTTTGACTTTTGAATATGTATTCACGGAGGAACTGCATGAGGCTTTGGAATGAAGATAAACGTTCTTAACAGCTTTCTATAGTTTAGTTATTTTAGTTATGATCTCTATTTTATAGTATGTGTGTTGTACCAGAGGTAATAATTTATTTTATATTGTATCTGAAGATGGTTCAAATGTAGAACCGAAACATGTTATACTTATAATTAGAATTACACAATTTATATTTCAAACGAACTTCTTTACTGGATAATTATAAACTTGAATGTGTTAATCACTTCTTAGTTAATTGATGATTACATACGACTCTTATTTGCCTTGTTTCCAATTATTACATTTTGAATTTTAAGAGTCCTTTACTTATAAATATTAATTAAATTTGTCGTTTCTTGGAATTTGCGTATAGTATGTAAGCGGATTTAGGTTATATTGTATTGATAAGGACCCAAAAATAGGGGTCGAAACGTATATTTAATTAATTTTTGATATGACTTGTTTAATTACACGAAAATAAATTGTACATCCGATTAACTAATGTTTGGCTTTGATGGGCTTGCTTATTATTATTATTATTGATAGATTCTTTCAAGCCTGTTTTTAGATATTTGTTGATTTACACGTTGCCTGAAATGATACGTTACACTAAGCATGGTTTTTTAATTATATCCATACAATTTTAGGATTTTATGTTGTAACCTTGTTAAAAACTTGGATCAGATTTAACAAGGAATTAATTTTAGTTAAGTTAAGAGTAGAGTTTTTACGCAAGTGTAAGAACCATGGTGTCTATCCAGCACATCAAAATCGCAACCATTTCGTTAAACTGAAATTTCATTGTTATAAGTATAAAAGAAGAGCACTTAATAATATTAACAAACATATTGAACATATACTACAATTAGAAATAGCAGATAGCTTTAAATACCGAAGAACACTGAATTATAGATTATGTTATTTAGAGATAAAATTAATTAATCATCTTCCGGTTAACATGTTTAATAGATTTGGTAGTACACAATTGAATTCGTTTCATAGATTTTGCGTTAAAGAATCTGATAGATTGAATAAAAAATTTTTATGGCTACAAAAAAAAGTAATGTTTGCGATAAAGAGAAAATAAAGGATATTAATTATTATGTAATAGATAATATTAGGGAGGATAATTTAAGTGACGAGGTTGGCAATAATTCTCACAAAAAATTTCTTTTTCAAGAACCGAAAAATATCAACAGCAATAACGAAATTGTCAAGATTAATATATCCGCTTCCCAGTTTAAACACATGTCATATGACATTTTAGAAGTCAATGACAAATGGTTTAAGAATCTTAGCAAGGTGATGATACCATGGGAAGTTAAAACGTTGTTACAATTAGGTGAGAATTTTTGCTTACCCACGTTTAACATTAAAAACACCATAATTGAATTTGTCAAACACATTGAGCATAATTTGTTTAGACTAAAGTTATCT